CCAAACTTCTCATTCATAAACTGGAAATTGGTATTTAACACCCATTGACATATAGAATTATGAAGAGCTTGTGGTAGAAAAGTTACCAGCACGTCTTGGATGGAGAATCAAAGAGCCTTTGATGTTTGTGATCGTTGGGGTTTTGTGATATCTGCGATGTCTGAAACAGATTTAAGGGAAGAAGCAGATCTGCGACCAAAGGAAGCAGATGTGTGGCTCTCCTGCAGTGTTTGTGGCCTGTGGGTAAGAGAGTGTTGAGGCCAGCTGTGCTCGGTTTTAGAGGGAGGCAGTGAGAGGAAAATGGAGGCATGAAGAGAGGGAGAATGAGGTAGCTTCCCAGCAGCTTTTTTCTCAGTGTTACAAATCTTGCAAAACAAAGGCTAGATCTGTAGTTGATCCAAATCATGCAGAAATCATAAAGCAATCCACGGTTCTAGCCACATTTCACTCTATCTCTTCAAGGCATTTTTTAACTAGCTGGAATCAGATCTATCAAAAACTCTCCATCCTTCTACCAAAATCTTTTAGGTTATGTTTAGAATAAGTCTACAAAATTTAGTAAAATTCATTTGAAAATTCACACTGTTAACTACAAAATGATATAAGTAATACTAGAAGATAGAATTTAGAATATTAATTCTATTTCATTCAGAACCCGTACGAGATCCATTTTTTTTCAATTTCTTAGTCACTGTAATATAATTTATATTCTCCTAGTTGAATTAAATGCAAAATGGTAACAAATTCCACCAAATCTTTTGATTTCTTCGAAACATGGCCTTAGTTTAATGCTTTAGTATCAAATACTTATGCCTTCCTTCAGCCAAAAAGAAAAAGACACTGTAGGCTTTAAGTGCAGTAGGTCCTCGTATAAAGTTCCACAGTTCAAATAGTGAAAGCCTCTAAAATACCATAGATCCCACTCCAGTAATGCAAGGGAGAAGATCATATATGTACTTGGAGCCTAAAAATCCTAACGGTACTGAAAAAAAGTCTGATGATAGCCTTATTTTGTCGCAAAAGCTGCTGTTCGCTAGGAGCTTCTAGGTTTTGAAAGCCAGAACAAAGTTTTGCTACTCACTCTCAAGCTGCGATTCTTCCCTTCGTGTCAGTGTTACCGAAAAGCAGGAAATAATGTAGTCATACACAGACATGAACTAACAAATTACTTCTACTTGTAAAGAAGATATCACGAGGAAATGTCCATACGGCATCGGAAGGTATTGTTAACACACTATCGTAAAGAAGATATCACGAAGCAAGATTGAAAACCTTCAGGTTACATTAAATTGTTCGTCGGAGATTAAATTCGCGCTCAGGAAGACACGGTAGTTTAAGAACAAAGCCAGCATACATGAAAGAAGCAACAGAATCAAAATCATATAGATGTTATAACGCTAATTTGTCCGCTTGAACTTTTTCGAGGAACTTCTGTCAGAGAAATTGCTATTAATTGGGGTTGTAAACGTACCAGAAGAAGAAGCAGAGACCAGCACGAATCTCCTGCAACCGGCTATAGGCGTCCGACTACGCCGTTGAAGAATCGGAAGGAAGAACGGAGCCGAGACAAGAAGAAAGAAATTGAACGGATGAAAAATGAAGAAAATGGGAGCTGAATCTGTGATTGTTAGAGGAAGAAGACGACGCGTTGAAAGGAGGAAGAAAGAGAAAGGGCGGTGGCTGGAGCAAACAGGAGAAGAGAGTGAAGATAAAAGGTTATGTAATAATTACAGGGCAGAGCAAATTTCACATATTATATAGTTTTAGGATCATATAATATGTTATGTAATAATTATAGGGTAGAGCAAATTTCACATATTATATAGTTTTAGGATCATATAAATATGTTATGTAGAAATTACAATACAAGTGCTATTAAAAATATTATATATTAATTTAATTGTCATTCTTTATATTTTGATTCCTTTGGTATTCCAATTAATTTTGATTTATCTTCTATTCTTTTATATTAAGCATTAGATATGATATTTAGTAAATAAATATATAAATCTCGCACGTACGTTAATATTTTAATTTTATTGTTTGATTCAACTTTTAATAAAATTCACGACAATTCAAATAATTTTAAAATTTAAAATTTTTCGTCTTGCGATCGATTACCTATGTTTTGACGATCATTCGTACAAAAATTTTCGATAAAATTCAATATTTTAATTTAGACTGTTGTTTTAATTTTATTGTTTGATTCAACTTTCAAATAGAATTCACGACAATTCAAATAATTTTAAAATTTAAAATTTTTCGTCCGTATTTTTACGATCATTCGTACAAAAATTTTCGATAAAATTCAATATTTTTCGAATCTAATTTTTTTCGGGCTAGCTCGCGAGCATTTCGACTACAATCTTTAGTCCAAGTATTTACCAAAACTCAAGAATTCACATTCAAAGTGGAGTCATTATTATGAACTTGGTTCTTGGTATTCTAATCTTTTAGGCAAAAATAACATTATTGGGTTTGAAAAGTTAAGCACGGTTAGAGAAAGGCGTTGAACAGCCTAACTTATTTTGACTAAAACCCCAATCTCCTGCTCAATGTTCGCGTCTTATTTGACTAAAACAGGGTTCGAGCCCAAAATTTAAGTAAAATCAGATCAAACCAAGGAAAAAAAAAAAGACAATCTGTGGATTCACGTGTGTGTGTATATATATATATATATATATATGTATATGTTATGTGTTATGTGTGTGTGTGTTAGGGATTGATGCAGAACATTCAAAGTAGAGTTTGAGGAAAACTGAAAATACCAAAATCTATATTTACACGGAGCAAAATTAATGAGAATTCTCTTGGGGGTGAGGGGTGAGGGGGGGCGGCTATGGAGGAGTCACGCTCTCAAATTCATTGCACCCTCTGATCTTCACCTGAACCAGTTTATTCAATCCTTCTCCGCCATTGATCACCTCGCAACATTGTCTGCGTGGCGCCTGTACATCCAATTCCAACTTTATAAACACTCCATAAATATATATATGTGTGTGTGTGTGTTGCACAAATTACGCAGAAATTGCAGGGCAGAAAATGGAGGAGTTAATAGAATTTAGAATTTCCTTACCGACTTCCAAAAATCAGATGCGAGGATCGGAGCAGAGACGTTGAAAATTTCAACAGCCGAAGCAAAGCCATGATCGGGTCGGTCACATTTTTCTTTTCCCTCCGACTTGAATCGTTTATGCGTGCTCAGGGTCTCACCCGGACTGACTTCTTTGATCCCATCCAAGAAATATATAAGCGGCCGCTCGCACGGGTCGGAGCTCAGGGTTTGAGTATCGAAGGTGAAAGGTTCCCGGCTCCAACTCCTCCATGATTTAAACGTCAAGAGAGCTGTTCCTAGCTTCTTGGCGGTGACTAAAGATGGATATAACTGCACTGTGTAACCCCATGAAACCGAAGCGGACCA